TTTTAAGATTATGATGATTTATAATACACAATGAACACAATGCATCCACTTAACTCACAATGGATTATAATTCCCATAGTTATAATGTATTATAAATCTCATATCTTTCCATTGCTAACTTATTACTTTACTTAAAGCAGACAAAGACCACTTATAAACAACAACGACAACAATAATAATAAAAATAAAAAATAATATTTTTTTTCTTAAACAGCCATAAGATCAGATATCTGATCATATGAATGTGTAATAAGGCACATTTGATTTTAACTATATTTATTGTAATATCAGTAAGATATTGTAGATCTTAAATAAATAATGTCAAGATATGAAACTTATAATCCATTATAAATTAAGTGGATTTAACATGGTGTTTATTGCGTGTTATAAATAATCATACTAATAAATGTTATAACCACAAATAAGCAAGTATTATAATGTATCATAATTGTTGTTATGATTATTTCTGAGATGATACAACATTTTATACGTTTTTTTTTTATAATGCATTAAGCATTCATTATAATGCCTTAAGAATAAGCTAACAAATAACAGCGCCAGTAACAGAACAGGCTGTAGGTCTTGGTGTTTAAGCAAATTAGAATGGTTGTATAAAACAGACAAGTAATGTAATCATATATTGAACATTTATTAGGGCTGACAATTGAAAAAAATTAAATAAATAAAAAATAAATTTGATAATAATAATAATAATATTAATAAATGATACAAAGTAGCTGCAATTAGCAGTGATGCCAGTACATTTTGCATTTCATCATCTTTATAATTATTTTTTTTTTTAACTATGTGAATGCATACTTTGTTTGTTTGGTAAATTAGTCATAATTTGTCATCAATGCTGTAACATAAGTAACTTTGTTATTTGTCATTCAGAAAAAAAAATGGCCAAAACATATTTTAAATAAATGCTAAATATAAGCTATAAACAGTGAAGCTTAAATAAATAGATTTTTGAAAGTGAAAATATATTAAGTTTCAACCTACATACAGTGGGTATAGAAAATAATCCCCCCCCCTTTAAAATAATCACATTTTGTTGCTTTGCAGCTTGAAATGAAGATAGACACAGTTTTTGTTTTATCCAGCTGTATTTACTCAGTGCAACTTATAACATCCAAGTGAAAGATTTAACACCAACATGTCATAACCCCCTCCTAAAAATGACTTGTAAACTCAATCAGTTGTAGCTAATTACCAACTCTGAAGCAGTTGCAGGAATTTATGACAAAGAGTGGTCATTGTGTGCATGTGACAACAATATCACAAATTCTCCACAAATGTGGCTTGTATGGGAGAGTTGAAGAAAAAAAGCCACTCCGCAAGAAAGGCCACATGCAGTCAGACTGAGCTTTGCCAAAACACACCTTGAAGATTCTGAAGCAGATGAGACTAAAATTGAATTATTTGGCCTCAACACCAAACGATATGTCTGGCGGAAATCCAA